ACGACACGTGCACCGTAGCCTGCTTTGCACCCCACTTCATTTCAGATGCACATCTATTGACACCTGGCTTCGGATGCAAGCACCAGCATGACTGAGGCTGAGATGCATCTGTATCAAACAGACAGGGACAGCCTTCTATCAACTTATGTGTCGAAATAAAAGCATCTCACACATGAAAGGCAGGATCTCCATGGTTTCCCCTGGAGCTGGGCCTCGTTGCCATGGGAGTGGAAGGCGCTACTGGAAGAGGAGGGAAAAAAAAAAAACACAAAAAGACAGGCAGGAAGACAGTGTCATCTTTCCATGTATGTAATCGGTTTACTTTATCCTTGATGTTAAATATACTCAACAGGAGATTTTCATTAAAGTTAGTTGTAAAATCACTCTTGTTGTACATCAAATATTGTGTGTGTAATCACTTTTAGAAGATCTAAAATTAGCATCAATGGAACAACCACCTCTCACCCACCCACGCACGTACACATGCACACACACACATACACCCTCCTCATGACCTGTGCTGTGATACACTGTTTGCCTAACTGTGTAATGGTTATTTCGACAATATTGTGCAAGCCTTGTCCTCGTCCCTGTCCCAATGCAATTAACCATGGCACCAGCATGTGCCTGTTCCTGAGGATGATCAGGCACATCACAGGGGGAAACGGAGAAATGAGAACACACAACTGGTGTGTCGTACGAGGCCTCATGATGCGTTATTATTAGCTTCTTCTGCTTTACTAATACAACGTTGATATTCAAAATGTGTACTTGTAGAGCTGCTTATGCCCGAGCTAGACCACCATGGCGCTTCAAAAGATCTAAACAGAGCAGGGTTGAGCAAGTTCAAACACCTTGGTTCAGTTTACATAAGCCTGATCAGATGTGAGGAAGTCCAACATACAGTATGCTTGGTTGTTATGTACTAAACAGGTCACGCTTGGACTCAGCTCCATACGGTGCCCGAGGTGATTGAGAGGCTGGCGTAACACAGGGCAGGTGCAACAGGCTAAGTGATGAGTCTGCTACGTGCAGATGCAGCACGACCTTATCGGAAACCGTGAATGTCTATACAGAAAACATATGTTCGGCGGTTACATAAAGTCCATATAGTGCCGTTGTTTTACAGATGTTGTAACTAGCAAAGCAGAGGCATCATAAACGACCTGGATAGTCGGTGTGACGCAGGAAATAAAGTCAATAAAGTTTGATGTATTTAGTTTACTAGTAATTAAACCATAAAGTTACCCGGTTTTGTAACTAGCAATAACACGCATGCAAAGCACACAGCATCCTAAACATTCTGACGTGAATTAAAATTAAAATGTCTTAATTAAATGACTCCAGTGAGTTTGGAACATCATGATGCGCCATCACTGCGGGTCTGTTTCAGTCAGATCTGGTTTCGCCTTACCTGATTTGACCTCGGATCGCTGATAATGCCAAAATACATTGCACACACTCCTCATTATTTCCTTTAATCCGGTGCAAAGCTGAACACTAAGTTCCAGTGTTGGCTTGGAGAGTAGGCCATAAATACTGATGTCATTGCCCTGAAACAACAATCACTCACTGACATCATGGAATAGTCTGACCTCTTTAATTCACTCAATCTAATGAAGCTCCTAAATAAGTGAAAGGAACATTGGCTTAATCTTTTGACAGGATTTAAATTTCTTGTGTCAGTCTAATATATATGTGTGTGTGCAATTTGCTCAGACAAAAACAGTTATTGACAGTCCCCTGTAATGGTCGTCTTTGTGCACGTAGTCATTAAGCTCCAGCGTCAACACATCATGCCTGTGACACATTTTACAGGCCTGTTGAGTGTTGCACTGGGAGCTGGAGAACTAATTACAACAGAGGACCATGAGATTACCCTGAGAACATGAGAAGGTGGAGTACCTGCTCCGCTAAATGCGTTCACAGTGACATTTTAAGGTGTGTGTTATAGATTTTGGACCAAAATAGGAGCCTGGTAAAACAGAAAACAAGATAAGGAAACTGGTTTGAACAGACTCTTTTACGTGGGGGAGCTGTAAAACGGTGAGAGCGAGATATGGCGGAGGAAGTGGGATAGTATGCATATCTAGCTAGGAAAACAGTTTCTTTCCATTTCAAGAAACTATTGACCGCCGAGTAGGCTGTGATGCAAGCTGAATGAAAGAAAGACATCCATAATATTGACGCATATTTCATCATTTCTAAATGTAGCTGTTGTCAATTTCAGCTGCCCATCTAATGTACATTGTAAATGTGCATTAGCTGGGCGAAGGCATCCTGGTGCATGAAGGTAACCAGGCAACTGTTTTCAGACACTTGAGATTAAGCCAGCGTACTTCCTCTGTCGTGCGTTTACATTCATGGTGCGCAGCTCGTAGGGAGACAGATGTTTCCTACAGATAATATGAAATCACCTCGAGTAATCAGACTGAAGCACAAAACATTGTTCATTCTGTCCTAAAAGCCCAAATGTCAGATTACTCTTCAATATGCACTACGTGTTCATTACAAAGATGTATTAAGGAAAAATGACATTATCTTCTAATTAACCCCTTTAAGGCCAAGGCAGCAATTTGGACATTTCCACATGGAAAAACAAAACAACAACAACAGAAAAAGAAATTTAGTCAGTAACAACTATGAGGCCAAAATTACCACTACAGGCTCTATGGATAAGAGACACTTGGGAGCTTTACTAAAGCCAACCAGTTTTCCTTTTCCCAATCACCAGGCCAGAGTCAGATTTTTACAAGATCCCACAAAAACGGACATTTTTACTTTACTTAGTCATAGTAGCACAAGGCAGCCTTTTCACGGAGCGAACCACACTTGCCAACTTTTGCAAACTGGCAGTAGGTTGTGTTTTAATAACAGCCACCAGGGTGGAAAGGGTTAAGCTGTCAGTCGAGATTTCAACTTGTGATGTAGTTCCAGTGAGGTGTAATTCATACCAGTGAATTATTATGGAGAGAAAGGCAGCTTGGTGGGATAGTTAAAGAAAGAAAATAACTTTATTGTTTGGACTTTCTATTTACACTTTAGGGTGAAAAAAGGAAGCTTGAAGTCAACGCTGAAGATTCACAGAAGTAGCTTTTATTCAAATGTCCACTCCTTGTGATTGTTACCCTTTTTTATGAATGGCCAGTAAGTTGTTGTTTCATGGTTTATCAAGTGCCCATTGATAGAAAATCGTTTGTGTACGGGTGGCACCAAGATAGAGTTACAGGTCCAACGTTGCTATTTTGATTGAAGACAGATCATCGGAAATCCCTCCAAATCCTAACAGTGGTTGACCAGCGGGGGGGAATCACAGGTGATTCTCATTTATGACAGGGTATTTCACAGCTGAGTCAACACTCAATACAAAAAGTGTCCAGCAAGTATCATCTTCTTTACAGGAACTGAAAGTACATCCTGTGCAAAAGATCCTGTTGAAACATGCTGGTTGGCTGTGTGGGATGTTTAAAGGTTTCTTAGACAGAAAAGAGATTCATATTAACAGTAATACAAAGTCTGAGTATTAAAACACACAATCCTTTTTCCATTAAAAGAGTTAGGAGGAGATTGGATGTCTTTGTAACTATCCTGAATCTGTAGTTTAAACTAAATGTAGGTCTTGAGCTGTGTTTGTCTAAAGGCTTTTCTTAGAGGCACGAGCCAAACTGTAAATTCTAGTAAATATTTGCGTTAAAGGCATGCGTCACTACAACCAGTGACACCAATTTCACAGCACCTTATTGTTGGCAGTAATGGCTATTCATGTGTATGCATTTGTGAATGCTTCTCATCTGCTCACATTACAGTGTGTTGTTTTGTCATAACCAGCGTTTGTCAGTACCCTATTAGAGCTTCTCTGAGCCCTGAGAAACCTATTAATCTTTAACTAGTAGCGGCAGCCGGTGCTTTTAAGCCTGATCCTTATTGCCGAAAGCAGCAGGATATACTTGTCCTGTGTCTGTGAGCTGCTGCTCTGTTTAGTTGGGTAAACATGTATAAATATATATATATTAAATCAAGAAATGTTTATTTTAATCTTCAACATAAATAGAGTATTTTTGTCTCATTAGCTGGCTAAAAAGGAGACAAACTATTAGGCTCATCCTCTTTACTTAAACAGTGCAGTCTTCCCCAAAACCACATTGTCACATTCTTTTTTTAATTATTATTATTTAGCCATTTTGCTGCTTAAATTCCAATTCTAGACTTCATTGATATTTGCAATCAGAGCTGTGGGTAACATATCATCATCTCAAATTAGATAAACTATTGTGATGATCAAAAAGGAAAGGATTTTTAAATGTTAAAAGCAAATTCAAAAAATGTTTTTTCTCATAAATATTACCTACTTAATTGTCTTGTTTAATGAAAGGCTAAATTGAGCTGGGAAACGAGGGAGGAAAAAACATATCTAATTTCATTTGAATTTCATTCAACATGACAGTAAGTGTTCTGTATCATAGTTGTAAAAAATAAATAAATAAATAAACAAAGCTTCTTTTGAGCACTGATTAGAATTATGCATACTCAACGATGAAAACTCCCCTCTAAGGTTTCTGGTTTCTGGTGATATTTTTAATCGCTGGAAAGGTCAGGAAGACAACAACAGGCTTAGAAGAAATACGAGATGGTGGCTGTCTCACACCAGCTGATGGTGCGGCTACATTAACAAACAAAGGAAGGAAAGGCTGTAAAGGATTATTTCAATTTTTGTATTCGTTTACAAGCTATTAGAAAGTCTGACTTGTTCTTGAGGGTTTGACCACTTTAATTAAATTAATCTTCTCCTTACACTTTCATTTTAAAATGGAGAAAAAAAAAAGAAATATTGAGAAAACTGCCCCTATAAGGCTGCACAAAGGTATTAAAGTAAAACTTGTTAGCATCATCTTATTTTGAAATGTACTCAAAACAAATAGCCTCAGTGTTTTCCATATTATTTTTAATATAAAATCTTGTTTTACAATAAAAAAAACAAATGAAAATAAATAATTCAACACATAAATAAACAGTTCAAGAAGTATTTCGGTTTATAATGTTACAATGCTTGAAAGAGGCAAATCACAGTCACCAAGCAGATAGTCTCTTTTCAGGGTGGACATTTTGTTCACCACTTTAAAGCGAAGGGACCGCTGGCTGAGGTCGTCCTCTGAGATACCATCAAAAAAGAAATCCTCATTGAAGATCGGATTACGGCTCTTTCTGATGACTGTGCTGCGTTGCTTCTGCACTTTTCCAGGAACCAGGGAGAGGCTGATGCTGCAGTTGATAATCTTGGGGTCTACAGAAAGAGGATAGAGGCCCTCAGCACTGATAAGTCGAACCCTCAGTCTTTGGTTATCCGGACAGTACTCCGCTGAGAGTCTCAGACTGCCATCTTTTCCTATGGGCACCATTCTTTCCTTCATTACCCTCTCTTTGTGCAGAGTCAAGTCCATGGGGAAGATGGTGGGAGGCGCGAGGCTGTAGCTGCTGGGCAGGCCTTCAGCTAACCCTTCTGATGCCCTCCTCATGACATTGGGGCTGTTGTCTGTGGAGCTGCCTTCATCAGTGGACAGGGAATTGTTCCTGGACACCATTGCCTTCCTCATGTTCCTTGACAACAGCAGTTCATGGCTCAGTGCTTTGAAGAGGGAAGACTTGGCAGGGCACCTGGTCAGCAGCGGCGAGCTAAAAGGAGAGGATTCAGTAGAGGAAGTTGTATCGCTGTCCAGAGCGGCCTGCCAGTTCAGGGTGTAGCCTCTCGGGGAAAGCCTGGAGGTCAGGCTGTTAAGGCTGAAAGAAGAAGGAGAGGACGAGGGCGAGACGGAGGGGGAGACTTTGGAGCACATGCTGGATCGACTCCTGGGCAGCAGCAGGGGAGAGGAGCCGGGATCAGAATGGAAAATGGACTCCTTTCTCCTGGTGTGGGGGCTCTCAAGCAAGGTGCAAAAGCCATAGCTGGTCTGGGCTTTGGCGAGGTGTGGAAGAGATAAAGCTGCCTGGCTCTGGGGATCTGCATTGGTGGTCTCCTCATCACTGCAGCCATCGTAGGGGCTCTCATCCACACTTTCCACCTGAATAATGTGCGGGTTGAGCGTCTCATGAAACGTCACCTCTGTTTCAGGGGTCGCCCTCCCACAGGGGGACACCTTGGTAATGCGAGGCGTTCGGCTTTGCTCCGTGTTCTTCATCTCCTGCAGGGATAGGATTGTTGGGGGGATGCAGAACTCTGGGATGTTGTCAGGGGTGATGATGTTAGGACAGAGGGAAATCCTTTTGGGCTTGTCAGCTCGTTCTCCCAACATAATGTCGCTGATTTTCAAGCTGAGCTCTGCTGATGGGATAGGCAGGTTAGATCTCTCCACTGACACACGGATCTTCTCCACCACCCACATGAGTAGAAATCAGAAAACTCTAAAAACAGAAACAATATTTGAGTTGTTCTATTGTTTTTTTTTTCATATATATATCAAATGCATTCACAGATAATCTATAAAAAATAAAACTCTGTCACAAAACCAACAAACTTTCTGGGGAAGTTTTTCTCACCTTGTTTTCTGAAGATATGGATAATCCACCAAGTTGTCCCAGGCAGGATAGACCGCTAGCTCCGGCTAAGGCGCTGCGAGATGGACAAGTTGTGACAGCAGATGGAGGTTCGGCAGATCTGTGGCTGTTGGAGAGATGCAGGCAGTTTAAATGAAGCAGGAAACCAATAAATCTAACACACGCCTCCCGTGTAGCTCGAACTGGATCCTCCCTCTCTCCTTGACCGCCGGTTCCCATGGAAATATCCAAACCACAACAGAGCCCAGTTCCCCCGTCGCACCTACAGTACTGTTCAGCAAGATAAGCGTACTACTTCGAACGTGGACAACTCTTTTCAAACAGATGGCAGACTTGCAACTTGTGTGTTTGGTTTTCCATTTATTTAAATTGGACGATGTGTTTGACCTTGTTCTTTGAGTTTAAACAAGGTTATCTGATAACATCATGATTCTTACAGATAAAATCTCACTCAGCAAAGCTGGCCTCTTGTGTTTTTACTGGGTCAAGTAGAACTTCCTTTCCAGCCCAGTTAGATCTCACTCTAAATAGAAAAAACAGCGCCTATAAACTTCCTATTGAAGACCGTTGTATTGAATTAAATGTGCCCAGTGCTGTTGGCTCAACCAGGTGATATTTATATCTGCTTGTTCCACTCCAGGTAATGTAATGATGCTAAAATGACTTAGTGCTGCATCATTACATCACTAATATACTCGATGCATTTTGCCTCATTGCATACATACACCTATAACTGAGCCCAGTGTATTTTCTGTCTTGGGACTACTTTGGACAGTTACTTGAAATCTAAAATTGCATTTGTTGAAGTGAACAGTGGGTGTTTGCACAGCCATGACTCCAGATTTGTACAAAGGAAATCATCTGTGACACTGCAGAGATTAGAAATGTGCCAGTTAAAGCTGCAGCTATTAAAACAATTGTAAGTCACTGTGAAATGTGAGTACGCCAAAAATATGTATTGTATTTGCGATATTGTTTTCCGCTACACAGAGTATAGGATAGGAATTCAATGATAACAAATATTCCGTAAAATCCTTTCTCTGGGTTTTCATGGGAATTTTCTGGATTGCAAAAATATATTTGAACAATCTGAGAGTAGAGAAATCAGATTAGTCCACAGTTTCCCACCACAATGCACACACAGAGTATATTCATTTATTAACCATCACTTTGTCTGTCCCGAAGAACTACATTATATATTTTATTCCCAAGTTTGGTTTCTGAAATGTCAGGATCACATTAAAAAGGATAATGAAAGATTATATACTAGATATTGCTCCTTAGGTCTTCAACCTCTACTGCTACTTTAGTGCTACCCTCTTGTGGTGGAACATGAAGCAGCTGGAATTATGAATAATTCCTACTTGACAGAGAGGTGTAATTTTGTTGAGCCTGCTACTGGAGAAAAGCTACAACTTTGTAGCAGCCATTTAAAAAAAAAAAAAAGAAGTAAAATACACTCTCAAACAGTGCACCTGACGAAAACAAACCGCTTAGTTCTGCCTGTTATTTTTTAATAATCTGCCCCTACAAGGGTTTTACGAGGGACTTTTTATTTCTTTTTGTAAATTGGTTTTAATTAAAAGTGGGAGGATCCCAGAAGATAAAGATAAAAGCTCCACTCTGCACAGGACAAGGTTCAAGTGGTTAACTCGGTTACCGTGTGTTACCAGGCACTAAATGACAGTGATGTCAGTGCTAACAATGTACCAGGAAGGCTTCCTAAATGAGGCTCTTCTAAGAAATGTTTTTCCAAAAATGTTCGGGCCACATCAGCAACTCAAGCGTACCGTGTACACCTTCTTGTACCTTAAATGACCAGAGGACAGTGATGATGTTGGAGTAAATTATAAAGATGCAGTGAACAAATTATATTTCTCTCATGATGTTCTCCAAACTGACAAACTCGATCCCCTCCAGGCATGAATAAAGTTTTATTTATTCTAACATTAATACTAATTGGCAGGAAAAGGTTAAAGTTCACTCCTGTAACTTTATTTTTAACTATCTAATAAAATAAGAAAAGTAAGTGTGAAGTAATAATGTAAACACAAAATCAATCTCTCTTGAATGTGACTAACACATCCATGTGAATCCTGCTCCAGTGTTTGAGCATCATGAACATGAGTGTGTCCACATCTCCATCGGGGGGCAGTATATGTTTAGAAAACAACAGTACACCCACTGAGAGGGAGGTGTTACTCTGATTGATATATGAAATAGACTCTAATCATTACATTGCAAAGCTACAAATCCTACCACAATTACCTCTTAAAAAATAAAACATTTCATCGATTCATAACTCAGCTTGCAAAAATTAAAAAAAAAATAAAAATCTCCACCCAACCTTAAAAACAACAAATCTCAGCATTTATTTAAGATGCATTTATTGAGTCATAAAACCCAGAGCCCACTTTAACCATCAGTGATCTGCTGTGAGAGATAAAGAGCAGCAGCAGTGTGTCCGCTGATGGTTGGTCTTCTGACAGGCAGGTGCACTTCACTGCAGGCATTTTCAAAATAAAAGACCTCAGTCATTTCCAAATCCTTCGTGCGTTCATCTTTACGCGCGCGTCAACGTACAATGATTGTCAGGTTAGTTTTTCTTCCTTCACCGTCGCTCGTGTGAACCAGGCGTTCTGATCCATCTCGATCCGGCTGTTTTTAAAAAAGACATAATCAGACACTAACGGGAGAGTGTGACGCCTCTTCCTTTTTTGCGGCGCATAGATATGTGGTCTTTTTTTTCCTCCTCTTTCCCCCCACCTCCATCTCTCTCCACTGTACGATAAACGAGGAGGGGCTTGACGCCGTGGAGGAGGCAGGCAGGCAGGCAGGCAGGCTGAGCTGACCCGCTTGCGGTGTGCGTCGCCTCGCCTACATCCAAGTCAGCTCGCATGCGTTAAAGGAGTGAGAGACATCAGGTAGGATGTTTTATTTCCTTCTTTCTTCATCCTGTTTTTTTTTTGTTGTTCAAGGTGCTGTTCCTTCTCTCCCCCCCCCTAAAAAAAAAAAAAAGGTCTCACTACAGGGAGGCGGACCGCTCGATGTTGGCTCAGCCAGAAGCGCTGACAACATTTCACATTAACTGTCTGCAGACGACCTTTTCACATGATTAGTGGGATGGTTTCCCCCCCTTTACTCCTGCCATGTCCTTTGCTCTTCCTTTTTTTTTTCCTCTCTCTCTCTTTTGGATTTTGACATCAGTCGATTTGCTTCATCCGGTGCGTTATTCATCAAGCCAAACCTTCGCGTAATATGTGACTGACTGCTTTTGACATTGACAGATAAGAGGTTATAAAAAAAAAAAGATTTTGGAAAAAAAAAATGAATATTTGATTGACCTACTTGTTTGCTTGCATGTTAAATATTTAGGCTCGCCGAAATTTCGTGCTCAGAAGTAGGTTAAATAGACAACTAATGCTGCCCAGCTCCAGCTCCATCCTTGCAGCTCTGCAAAGAAATGTGCCTTGTACAGTAACTTGGACTTGACCTGAATGTTATCTGGATGGGCTCAACATCAAAGCTGACATTGAGGGTGTGAGTGTAGTGCGCATGCAGGGGATGTAACCCACTGATGATTTACTGTAGGCCAACAAAAAAATGTGGTCAGTGTGTTGAGACTGCTTGGTTGTGCTTCGCAATAGTGATTTTAAGAAAAAAATCTCATCCTGGAGGGGAAATTCTTTTTTTTTTTTTTTTTGGCTTGACACCTGCATTCTTGCAGAGGTCAGAGTGCACGTTCACCTTCAAGATGCCAGCAGGCAGGCCGGTGTACCCTCAGACTGAAGGGCATGTCTCCTTAACCACTAGGCAGCCCTGCCGCCTCCTACAGATGCTGCTGAAGAGATATTTTCTGAGCTGTGACATGTGGTTGTTTCGCACCAGTACGAGGCGGTAAATGTTACTTCGGCACAGTGACTCCGGGTGAGGAGGCCAGAGAGCAAACCCCAGACATGTCTTTCCATAAACGGTTTACCATACAGTGCATTAGTTTGTGGAACAAATGCATTGGGCTGACTCACTAAAGCGAACCACATTGAGCTGCACGTCAACCTCTTTTGGCATACTGAGAAAGTGAGCCACCCCCCTAGACGGCACGTAAGGGTACATTCAGGGAAAGTCATGCTGCGAGGGGGGTTTTAACCGACGACTGGCATGTTTTACCTGAGTGATGTAACTGGAAAGGTCAAGTTGCCTCAGCGTGATGCAGACAGCTGCGATTCTGGATGGCTTCATGCGGTCACTGACATGCTAGAGGCTTGACTCCAAATGGGAGTACCCATCCTAAAAAAAATGCCCTTACTCCCTCGTGGTACTGTTAGGCACCAGGGGAGTGTGGGATAAAAGCATCCACCAGCCACACATTTCCAATAAGAAATGATCTATGAGTAGCAGGCTTAAAGCACCGCTAATGCAAAACACGCAAACATTCTTGCATTTCTCTCAGGATGTTTTATGTTGCTCGCTGACTTTGTATCATGTCTATGTGGGATTTCTTGGTTCGTCTTTGAAGTCTGTAACGTGGAACGCCATATAATTGCCTGCCTCGTGGTTTGACATGTTTGTTCTTTCAGATAAATGCGCATACAGTGTCCTTAAACAAAGCGATATTGACAATAATAATAGCTGTATTTCTGAAAACAAAGTTGCAACGTGCTTTAAATAGGTTGTGTGTTGATAGCTGGAAGTTTTGATCCTGAAGTCTGCTTCAGTTGTGATCAGTAGAAGACCCATGCAGTTTGTTAGACATGTTGACTATTAATCTTAATGCCTGCATAATTTAAGCACTGTAATGATTTGTAATTTTTAGTGGTGTTGCATATTTTGGTCTGTACTACACTCTGCTCGACCACAACATTAACCTCGCCAGCTTAACATTCTGTAGTATCCCCCCCTTGAGCCGACAAAACAGCTCTGACCCATCGGAGCATGAACACAGGACCTCTGGTGGTGTCCTGTGGTGTCTGGCACCGGGACGCTGGCAGCAGATCCTTTGGGCTCTGTGGGTTGCGGGGTGAGGCCTCCGTGGATCGGGCTTGTTCCAGGGCGTCTTGTGGATGTTCATTTGGATTGGTACATTGGGAGTTTGGAGCCTGGGCCACACCTTGGCCTCTTTGTCCTG